CTGGGATCGCTTCCTGCGCAAGAGACCGTGTTCGGTTGGATAGTCACGGGCCGCGCCAATACAATTAAGCCAACCACCACTTGCGTCTCATATTTCAACGAAATATCGCTGGAAAAGCAGTTGGCTTCGTTCTTAGAATTGGAAGAGATGCCCAAGGAACGGAAACTAAGCGAAGAGGACAGGTATTATGAAGAGGTCTGCAAAAGGAGGCGAAATGAAGACGGGAAATACGTTGTATCGCTACCATTTAAGAAAGACTATCCGCTCAACATTAGGTTAGGTAGTTCGTTAAAGATTGCATACTCCCAGTTTTATCGCAATGAAGCTCGGTTGTCCAAAGATGAAAATCTGCAAAAAGAGTACAACAGGGTTTTAAAGGAATACGTTGAGATGGGTCATATGGTAAAGATACATACCAATCAAACGGCCGACTTTAGTGACAACTATTACCTGCCTCACCATGCCGTAAGGAAAGAAGAGAGCACATCTACAAAAGTGCGTGTGATGTTCAATGCATCGCAATCAACTTCAAACGGCACTTCGCTGAATGACATCCTTCTCCCCGGTCCAGTTCTTCAAGCAGATCTGACCATCTTAATTCTGCGATGGCGATTATTCAAATTTGTCTTCAATAGCGTTATTGAGAAGATGTATCGCCAAATCCTTGTGAAGGCTGATCAAACGAAGTACCAGCGAATCGTTTTCCGCAACCATCCGACCGAACAAACCAATATTTTCGAATTGAAGACGGTGACGTTCGGAATCAACTGCGCTCCTTATCTGTCAATAAGGACGTTACTTCAATTAGCTGACGACGTTGAAAGCTCACTACCAGTAGCCTCAGATATACTCAGGAAATGCATGTATGTTGATGATGTCTTAGCAGGTGGATACTCTATACTAGCATTGGAGTCGGCAGGTTTCCCATTAAGAAAATGGACAGCCAATTGTGGAAAAATTTTACAAGGCCTATCAAAAGACCACTTGCTCAACAAAGAATTTTTAGATTTCGGAGACAAAAGTAATGTCAAGGCTCTTGGGATAAGGTGGAATGCACAWACTGACTTCTTCTACTTCAAAACAAAACCAATACTCAGCCCAGAATCCTTTACAAAGAGAGCTATCCTATTAGTTATTGCCAAACTGTTTGACCCACTAGGATGGCTAGCACTGATTATAGTAATAGCCAAAATGATAATGCAAGACATTTGGTTAGAAGGAACACAATGGGACGAGGTTGTGTCTCCTMCCACATTGGATCGTTGGCACACATTCATGGACAACCACAGGTACATAAATAACATTAAAATTCCACGATGGCTCCACTTTTCGCCAACGGACGATGTGTCAATTCATGGTTTCTGCGATGCATCAGAGAAAGCATACGCAGCAACGTCTACCTGCGCGTAAAGACAAGCAACGAAGTTTTCGTGAGCCTACTATTTTCAAAAACCAGAGTAGCACCTGTCAAAACTATATCTTTACCGCGTCTGGAGCTGTGCGGCGCCGTATTACTGGCCGAAACAGTTGAATCTGTCGTCAACAACCTGGAGCTGACACATCTTAATTTCAAACTATGGACGGATTCGACCATCGTTCTCGCATGGATTCGCAAGCCACCATGTTTGTGGTCAACGTTTGTATCCCATCGAGTGACAAAAATCGTAGAAAAGGTCGGTAACGCAACTTGGAATCATGTCGATTCAGGGTCTAACCCTGCAGACTTAGCCAGTCGGGGACTTCTGGCATAGGAATTGGTGTAAAACACCTTGTGGTGGCAGGGACCTTCTTGTCTGCAAGAAGATCAATCTAAATGGCAATTACAACAAAACGACTACGAGACGACAATAGAGGAAAAGTACATGCTTGTGCAACTATACAGGGGAATTCTAACGACATTCTTGACCGTTTTTCTAATTTGCCAAGAGCTTTGAGAGTGTTATCATACGTTATGAGATTCTCTCAAAGAACTCATCCAAACACAAAAGCTTCCTTTCAACAAAAGTCTTGCTTAATTTCTTCCGAAGAAATTAAAGCAACGACAAGACGTTTGATAATAATTACGCAGAAGCAGAAATATGGTCAAGAATATGATTGTTTGAAATCCGGTAAGCTTATTGATGCAAAAAGTGAAATACTCTCTCTTAATCCATCCCTCGATAAAAATGAAGTTATGAGAACTGGTGGCCGTCTCGGTGTGTCTCTCGATTTGTCGTACAATGAGCGCCATCCAATTATCCTTCCATACAACTGCGTATTGTCTCGTCTAATAATCCAGTTTATTCATCAAGTCTCTCTGCATGGAGAAAATCAGGTTATGCTACGGCTATCGCGGGCTCAGTATTGGATTCCAAAGGTGAAAAACTTGATACGATCCACTATCCATAACTGCAAGACGTGCAGGATCTTCAAAAAACGTGCTCAGACACAACTTATGGGTGCACTTCCGACCGAACGATCCACATTTTCACGCGATTTTACGAATACGGGGGTAGATTTCGCGGCTCCGTTCGAAATAAAAAGCTACCGTGGAAGAGGATGCCGTGTATCCAAAGGGTATGTCTGTCTATTTGTCTGTTTTACAACAAGGGCCATCCACCTAAAGGCCACTACCGATCTAGCGACACAATAATTTTTAACAGCCCTCTCTAGATTCGTTTCTAGATAAGATTGCCCCAAKAATATTTATTCGGACAATGGTACAAACTTCGTTGGACCATCGAGATCTCTAAGGTCCGAACTTAAAGCCTTCATAGCAGATGCTCGCAACAATGCTACCTCCAGGTATAGTCACCAAGCTCTTRCATGGCATTTCATACCTGCTGCAGCTCCTCATATGGGCGGACTTTGGGAAGCAGGTGTGAAAAGCTTTAAGAGTCATTTTCGCAAAATTGCGTCTGGGCACAAATACACTCTTGAAGAGTTCAACACACTCTTATGCCGAATTGAGTCTTGTCTTAATTCGCGACCATTGAGCCCAGCCTCAAACGAACCTACTGATTTGGAGCCACTTACTCCAGGACATTTTTTGGTCGGTGGACATCTATTGACCCCACCAGAATAGGATATAAATGAGAACAGTGCCTCTATCGTAAATAGATGGCAAAAACTTAAGGCATTACATCAATCCTTCTGCAAAAGTTGGAAAACCGAATACCTAAACGAAATGCAGAAACGCATAAAGTGAAAACATCCAAAAACCAACATAAAGACAGGTGAGCTTGTCGTCATAAAGGAAGACAATTTACCACCGAATAAGTRGAGACTGGGTAGGATTATCAATATACATCCAGGCGCTGATACCCGAGTGCGAGTAGTCGACATCAACGGAAAAAGGCCAGGTTACAACACCGCTCAACGCAACAGTTCCCTAGTCACATCGGAAGCCTAACTTTCCATACACAAACAAAATTAAACAAAATTACTTTYAATATACCTGCGACAATCAGCCCTATCACGCAATCCATCGTAGCGAAGCTACGAATACGAATGTCCGCTACGAACACGCAGAATTTGCTTTCATTGAATCCGTGTGAATTCGAAACTTTTGTTGCCAGACTTAATTTTGAATTTTGACAATTCGAAATCAGCTGTGAAGAAGAAACAATTCAAATTTTGATTGACAAAACTGAAATTGTTTATATTCAAATTGATTTTACGAACAAAATATGGATTCGCTAACGTTTTTATTTATGTTTCTTGAGTAAGAATGTGAGATGATCTAAAAATTCACCGAAAATGACTGATGGACAAGAGCAACTCTTTCGATGTGGACGAAACAATGTACAGTTCAA